CAGTAAGAGCTCAGTGGTCCCAGGAAGTTTTATCGATGCCACCATTTTGGTTAATGTCATGTGGTCCATTAGCCAAGATGGCAGTTAAGTCACATGATCATCACCATCTTGATGATATCACTAACCAAAATGGTGGCCAAGTGACCAAGCCTTGATGAAGTCACTCTGCCACGATGACAAAACTACTGGTTACTTTTCCCTTATGGTGAGCTCAGCTCATTGGTAAAGTGAGTCCATCCCCCACCAGGGCAGAAGTCCCTACGGATATAGAAGCCAGCAGGTGAGATGTTGGTCTAGCTAAGTGGGCAACAAAAAGCAAAGCAAAGAAACAGAGGAAAGAGAAAGTGATCTTGGTCATTTTGTTCCACCAAAGAATAAAATGGGCTGAGACCAGATGGATCTATGAACATTGAGCAGGGTGGGGGACCTCTGGGCCAGAGGAGTTGCCTGCTCCCCCAGCTTGGGGGAGGCCTCTTTCCATTCTGGCTTCATGAGAACTAAGCTGGCAGAGGCTCAACTTCTCGCAAGGGAAACTGTTCACACTCTGATAACCAAACAGAGTCACTCTCTTGCCATACAAGTTTCTCTTATTCTGATTCCAAATGCTTTATTCACTCCCTTATTGGGTAGGTGGGTGGGGGTCTGTGCTAGGTGCTTCTCAATCAGAAACCACTCAACACACCAACAGAGCTAGGGCTCAGGACTCTACAGTAGGTATACACATCTCATTTACTTTCCTTATTCAGCCTCCAGGGACCAGCCAAGAAGAACTTTGCCATTCTTTGTGCCCACTACCTTGGTCTCCTGCACAAGAGTTACCTGGTTGCCTTGGTGACTTCTGTCCTGGGATCTTTATTGATCCAAAGGAATGTCATTCACCCAAGATCACTGCAACAAGGGCTGGGTGTGCCTCCTCCAGGGAAGGAGACCTGAACAACCCCAGTGTATTTGAAATCCCAGAGAGCCTCAAAATCATTGGAAAAGAAAATCTTGGTGTTGTGCAAAGAACCCATGAACAAAGGAAAGTAATTTGGCAAGTTGATTTGATCCAGCAATAGGTGCATGCCACAACCAACATGGCTAGGGAGCAGCACACCAAGCCAAAAATGGCCTCTGTCTTTACCGCTGGTGGAGGTAATGTCATCTCATTCATGGGTGGGAGCTCAGCATCACAGTCTGACTTGGTGACTAATTGTCACAAAGGAGAAGGAGGTTTGCTGTGGGAGGTTTTTCTGTCTATGTGCAGCTTTCATTGGTTAATGAATAAAGAAACTGCCCTGATCTGTTGATAGGGCAGAACTTAGGTAGGTGGGGAAGATGGAGTTGAATTCTGGGAGGAAGAAAGCAGAGTCAGAGAGATGCCATGGATACGCGGCCAGAATAAGACATGCTGCTGAAACTTAGCCGGTAAGCCACTGCCACATGGCGATACACAGATTAATAGAAATGGGTTAAACTAAGATGTAAAAGTTAGCTAATAAGAAGTTAGAGCTAATGAGCCAAGCAGTGTTTTAATTAATACAGTTTCTGTGTGGTTATTTTGGGGCTAAGCTAGCCAGGCAGTTGGGATGAACAAGCAGCCCTTTCTTGCAACAGAGGTTCAGGACATATGAGCCCTCATTGGGCTAAATGCCTTTGATGAAAAAAAAAAGTAAACAAGCAAACAGAATGTTTCTCATATCACAGAAAAAAATGTTTATAAAAGTATTTTTGACTTTACGATATTATACCAAGATATTACATTTATTTACTTTATTTTTTCTATGAGCATGTGTGCTTAGAGTCTAATGCAGCCCAGGCTTCTAAACACATCACCAATATTGACCATGAACTTCTTTGTGTGTGTGTGTGTGTGTGTGTGTGTGTGTGTGTACGTGCCAGGGCACATAGCATGTGTTTCTAAGATCGGAGGACAACTTGAAGGAGTCAATTCTCTCCTTCCAGCATGCAGTTCCAGGAACTGCACTTACATTGTCAGGTTTCTGCATATGAGAAAAGCTATTTCCCCTTCCTCCCCACATTACTCTCTTTGTCCCGCCCCTCTATTTCCCCTTCCTCCCCACATTGTTCTCTTATCCTGCCCCTCTATTTCCCCTTCCTTCCCACATTGTTCTCTTGTCCCGCCCCTCTATGTCACCTTCCTCCCCACATTGTTCTCTTGTCCTGCCCTTCTATGTCCCCTTCCTCCCTACATTACTCCCTTTTGTCCTGCCCCTCTATTTCCCCTTCCTCCCCACATTGCTCTTTTGTCCCGCCCCTCTGTGCCCCTTCTCCCCTGACATACTCCCTCTTCTGTTCCATGTCACATGTTTGTGTGTATGTGTACACATGCACATATTTATTCAGATCACCTCAGGGCACAATCTGTCATCTTCAGAGAGGAAAAGAAGAAATGTGACTGAGAAGGAGGCAAGTTCAGGTGCCCTGGTTCCTAACTACTCCCTTAATTTGAGCCAGCTGGCTCATCTGCAGAGCTTTAACTCTACCAACATCCTTTAGGAAGGCATGGTAAGGCAGCGGACTCCAGGGTCCCAGCCCCAGGGCTCCCATAATAACAAGCCTGGGATTTGGCCCAAGGATCTGCATCTTCTGCTGTCCAGACAGGGTGTCCCCAGAACTTGCTTTCAGCTGACAAATCTTGAGTTGTTCTAAGCACAGAGATGGGACAGGAGGAACCTGCCCAGGAAAGGCACTGTTGGAGTCGCTGCCTTGCCCAACTGCCTTGCGCGCTGTCTGGCCCGCTGCCTTCCAATATCAGTGTCACAAACAAGAGGGCAGGCTGACTGGCATGTGGAGGCAGAGGGATCAACTTACCATCAACTTACAATCAGGCATGGGTGCAGCTGCAGCCAGGTCTCTCTGAGGTGTGGAGACCAGCGTAAGCTGTCTGCAGGTCTGGAGGCAGCTGCAGCCAGGTCTCTCTGCGGTGTGGAGACCAGCGTAAGTTGTCTGCAGGTCTGGAGGCAGCTGCAGATCCTGCTGGAAGTTCTTCTGTACTGAGTCCTCTCTTTTATCCGGGAGGCAGGGCCCTGGTGCCAGCATCTGTCCACCCACCCACTCCACAACACCCCTGTTGTACTCATCTGTTGATGGTGGACGACTGCTGCCTCCAGAAAGCCTGTTAGATGCAATCCTACATACAACACACGCACACGTGTGCAGGTGCGCCCACCCACACTAACAAGTACATACATCACACACACGTGTGTGTGCAGGTGTACCCCCCTACACTGACAAGTACCTATAGCACACACACACACACACACGTGTATGTGTGTATACTGCAGGTATACCCACCTACACTGACAAGTACATACAGCACACAGCACACAAGCACACACCCCAAAATATTTTTTTTATTGGAGAGTGACTTAATCCAGGACACATGGATGTGGATCCTACAGAGAGTAGTTTTAAGTTGGTATCTAATCGCCAACTATAAACCTATCTCAGTGCAGCAGTACTCTGTAAGGGGAGGAAAAGAAACCAAACCCTGTGGCTAATAATGACTACATTGAGATTAAGAGAAATCAGTTCAGGTTGTGTTCTGTTGGTAGCAGACTTACCTGCGGAGTAACTCCCACAACTTCATCAGCAGATTTTCCCGATGTGGGTGTGGGTGTAGGTGCAGGTGGGGGTGGCAGTGGGGGTGCAGGTGT